GGAGAGAGAAACAACAGATTAGTAGTAATTCCCATCAAGTCTGCAAGAAAACAGTTAATTTGTTGTTTGTAACTGTGTTGCTGTCTTACCTTTCAGAGTTAAAATACATACTTTATACTAACATGCATCAGCGCATGCATCATGCATGAGATGGATCATGCAACAAAAGCAGTAGAAACATCATGGAATGGCACTAAAAGCAACTAAAGCTTTCCTTGTAGCATCTCCTGCAGTTGCATGACGAAAATAGCATCAGTTTGTTTGCAGCTTCGACCCTCTTTCACCCGTTCTTGCCACAAGGCCCGGGTCAAACATAAATAATAATTATGTCATGGGTCACAAGTTCATGGGTGTATTTTTTTTATGCTGAAAGCACACATACGCTGTGTTTTGCGTCAACTATTCACTTCCAGAATCCAACCGTTCTATCTGGAAGTAGGGCTAGGTGGTATGACCTCAAATTCATATCACAGTATAAATTGAATCCCTTCACAGTAACGGTATATATTGAGGTAGAAAATTATCATAAAAAGCAAAGATAATGTAATTTTTACAGCATTTATTTTGCAGAAAACTGTAATCCTAATCAAACCCAGCATTTTTGCTGTAGTGCAAATGAACACAACAGAAGTAAAAAAAAAAAGAATGTTCTATATACAGTATATTGCAAAAATGGTTTCAACAACAAACAAAACCTTTTCCTGAAATTTTCAACAATATCAAAATAAATGGATGTTATAACCAGTATTTCAAGTAAAATTAGTCATTTAGACATAAAAAAATCAATGTTACCTAAAATGTTATAGTCTGACAGGATCTTAAGGGGCTTAAGTTTGCACATAGTCCTGTCATAAAACAATTTCAAATAATTAGAATATAAGTGTGGTGAAGCCAAATAAACCATGCCGTCCAGAAGATGATTTCTACGTAACTTTTCTATAGCGGGAGGGGGAAATTTTGAGGATTTATTCTTTCTATATGTGTTTTAAAACTCTATATTTCTTAATTTATTTTCAGAATATTTTGAACTCCTCCTGCTCAGTTGTCTCTGCGCTCAAAGCCCTGTTGACACAGGTGCAATGACATAACCAACAATAGGACGGTAGAGGGTAAATTTCTACCATAGGCCAACTTCATACCGTTTCTACCGTCTACTGCATTTACCGTGCAGACCTGGAAGCAGATGTTTATAAAAGATAGTCAAATGGTCAAAACCTTTGTGCCTTTGTGTGATGTACATGGAGGAATGTCAGACAAAAACTGTGGTGCTATAACTGGGACAGATTTGTGGACCAAATATTTGTGGAAATCTAAGTCCTAACCCCCAGAGTGTAGACTCCAGTGGGAAGAAACCCCATGCAGCAACGTATCCCACAGTGGGAGGAGTTTCCCAGGAGCCTGGCATGGTGTTTCTCAAGGACTATGAAGGGATTGTGCAAAAACGATTGTTCAACAACCATGTGACTACACAATATCCAGTCAGCTGCCAATAAGCCATACTAGTCGCTTTAGTGTATTTGTGTATCCTGCAGTTTAGCTCCAATACATATACAATTATTTTTTGGAGTGCAGATAAAACGGAAACACAGATCAGATTTGGACAAATTACCATGTGTTTGATACCTGCCCCTTACTCTGTCTCAATGAAACTACTTAGTTTGAATACCTTGAAAAAAATTACCAGAAAAGCAGCCCTGTACATAAGAGATAGGGCTGGGCGATATGGCCCAAAGAAAAAATCTCCGATGTTTTTTCATCCCAAATTTGATTTTCAATTTTAATCAGTTTCGTTTCCCACTTAACGGAGTGCCTCTGTTTCAGGTGTCGAAAAGAATATGTTGTACTCCTGCTTTTTGTAGCAGGAGCCTTTTCTAACTGATTTTGCAGTGTGGTGTTCGTTGCTCCAAGTCCCAGGTTCCAAAACCAAACCAGTTCCAAAAACTGAAGAAACACTGCCTTTTTTGAGAAGTAGATCCTCTCTGCTAGCTGTCATATTGTCATGTTATGTACCAAGCATCTTGAGGGACAGGCGGGGTGACCTCTGAACTACAGAAGCCCCAAAGAGTGCACTGGTGGGGAAAAAATATTGATTTTACCCAAATTATATCGTCATAAATGGCAAATTCGAATTAACTGATTTAATCGATTTATCGCCCAACCCTAATAAGAAATCTTTGAAAGTATGGAGTAATACACTGAGAACTACTTACAGCTTAAAAACAAACATGTACCCACACCCACACATGCCGAAGAAAGGGGAAAAAAACAACAACAACACTATACTAAAAAAAGGCATGACTGATGAGGATAACATGGAAGCTTTAGTAACCTGACTAACAGCAAATGGAACTGTGGAATCCATCTTACCAGACTTTTTCACCCCATGTGCTTCCTGTTCTCCATTCTCCAAAGCAATACCTATGTCTGCACATACATGTGCATAAATAGCAAGGTAAAGTAAGGTAAGTACAAACATTCACATAAGGTGAGGTGAAGTGAAGTGAGATGAGGTAAGATAAGGTATGGAATATTAAGGCAATTTAAGTACATACATTCACATGCACAAAGTAAGGTAAAGCAAGTGCTGTACACACATTCATAAAGCAAGATATGATGAGGTGATGATGATGATGATGATGATGATGATGATGATAATAATAATAGCAATAATAATAGCAATAATAATAACAATAATAAAGGTAGTAAGATATGGTAAGCAGCACACAAAAATTCATGAAAAAACAAGCAAACAAATTTGGATTACTAACAGCTTTCAAAACCTCAAAATCCAAGAGTACAACTTCCTTTTACATTGAGCATTTCCCTCCCTTTGAGGGAGTGCATGAATGTTTGTTAGCATGTAAGAGGCCTTGTAATGGGACGGTTGATCTGTCCAGGGTGTACCCCACCTCTCACTCAATGACTGCTGGACATATGCACAGCTTCTCCAAACCCCAGATAGAATCAAGTGAGTAAATAAAATAGTAAAAGAATAAATGGATATTGGGGAGCATGTGTCATTTATTTATTTTTTGTTAGGACCACAAATCATGTTCTCTTTTGTTCAGCCATTTTTAGAAAGAGACAAGTGGAGTTAAAGTTGTGTGGCTGCTAAATAGCAATGCTAAATCATTACACTTTGTTCATCCACTATGCAAATATCTATAGGGGGCAGCTGTGGTAGAGTGGTTAGGGGAGTCGTACTGTAACCGGAGGGTTTGATCACCCGTTCCAGCCGTCTCAGTCCACCTTGCCTACTGATGGTGGTCAGAGGGTCCGTTGGCGCCGGTGCATGGCAGCCCTGCTTCTGTCAGTGTGCTCAAGGGCAGCTGTGGCTACAATGTAGCTTACCACCATCAGTGTGTGAATCTTTGGCTACGTTCACACTGCAGGTCTTAATGCTCAATTCCGATTTTTTGAAAAAAAATCTGATCTTTTTGTGTGAACCTTCACATTACATTTTAAATGTGACCTGCATCAGACCCTTGTGTGAACGCTACACAGCACTGATGTGACACGCATGCGCAGTAAAGACGTCCCGTCTCATCACCTGACTTGTTTGTTTACAGAGCTAGCATGCATGCTACTTTTTGCACGTCAAATCTGAAGTTGTTTAATCTTAGAGCCAATTAAATAATTATCTGACATGCTTGTTTAGTTCAGTTTTTATATCTGAACCTGCCTCTGACCGAGATGCTCCAGAGAATCTTTTTATTTTTGAACGAACGAGCTGGAAAAAAGTATAGACCGAGTAACTTTAGGATCGATACGCTCCGCGACCCAGGCTGGACGTTATCGACGATTATCCGATTTAAAACCACATACTGAAACGGCCTGGGTCGGTTTTGAAAAAAATCGGATTTGTCGCGTTCAGACTTTCATAAAAAAAATCGGATATGGGTCAGACGGTGCAAAAAAAAATCAGATTTGGGTCAGATTTGCCTGCAGTGTGAACGTAGCCTGTGTGTGAATGGGTGAATGACTGAAGTGTAAAGCGCTTTGGGGTCCAAGTGGGCTTAATAAAGCAGCAGAGCAATATAAGTTCAGACCATTTACCATATCTATGAAGATATTCTTGTACTCATACTCTGCAGGATATCCACACACACAGACATGGACCACACTGATAAAGCACTATAAACTAGACATAAGTGATGTACTGACGCTTTATTTTCACAAGTATTTTTTTAAGGTGTGACCACTAAATTGTGGGGATGGGGGAATAACAAATTGCAAATCAATCTATACATTTTATGTAATGCCTAATGTTTTCTACTTTTCAGCAGAAAAAAAGTAATTCTGCCATTCTCCAGTAAAAAAAAACTACCATGAAAATAGAGACTGTTTATTTCTTTGAGCGAGAGCAAATGTACACAATTAGCAGCAGATCAAAATAAAAATTTCACCCCACTTTAGTTTTCAAATTTAATTTAATTCAATTCATTATAGTTCAGTTAAATTTAATTTACCTGAAATTAATCTAACTGATTTAATTTAAGGCCATATTAGGGGATTATACAAAAAAGCAAACAGGTCCAACTCATTTAAAACTACATGCAATCGAATTCAGCTCAGAACCAATCTAAATTCAAATCCAACTATACATATAGTCCAATTATAACACAAAACAGTCTGATCCAGTATGGTATGATACAGTCCAAATGATAAAAAGTGTCTGTTAAAACAAGCAGAATGCACCAAATCATTTTGTTCGAACCAACCAGTTAGCACTCCATTTAAGGCCCATAATAAAAAAAAATGAAGACAAAAAGTGTGTCTTATTCATCTATTCATCCTAATAATATAATATAATATAATATAATATAATGCATGTCATAGGAAACAAAAATGAACAAATGGAAAAGTGTAATAATCAGAGTCTAAAGTAGAGTCCAAAGGTAACACTATCTTTAAAGAAAGTGAATGATCATGATAAACAACAAGTGAATGATCATGATAAACAACAGAAGCTCAGATTGTCAACATCATATCAGTCTCACCTGGCCTAGTATCATCGCCATCCAGCAGGGGGGTGTAGTCCGACTTTTCAACCATTTCCTTGACCTGATCATCAAACGTCTCTGCCTCCAGCTGAGCCACAAAATCCTTCTCCACCATGCTCTCTACACCAGGCTGTGGAACACTGTCGGTGAGTGCATCACTCAGGTTTAGGTCTTCCTCTGCCATGGCTGCAAATAAAGACAATTAAGTCAGAGAGGAGCTCATAAATTAAAGAATAGAAGCATGATTAAAAATAAACACAATCTAATTGTTTATTTATTTATTTTTAGCGTTTTTTTTTTTTTTTTTTTTTTTTTTTTTTTTTGGGGGGGGGGGGGTGGCTTGATGATGATGACGAAGCTATAAGCAAGAATCCAAACCCAATGTTGACTGATATTTATTCTTGAACCAATACCAATTTTTATCAATTCAGATTTCTTTCCAAGAGAAATAAATAACAGAATACTTTTTTTCAACTTTCTGAAACAAAATTACTTTTGTGTTTACCATTACCATTTGTGTACCAATCAGTGCAAAGACACCTATAGTAAAGCTAGATTAAACTAGAGATAAACCAATTCTAACCAACCAATGTTAATAGGTCAATAGTGGCCACTTCATTGGTAAGAATTTGTTTTTAAACTTTAAAATCTAAACTTCCGCAAGAAACTGATAAAAGAAAAGCTGAATAATGTAAATGCTTCAGGCTGACGAAAGACAATGGTCTTTGGTATGTCTGCAGCACTTAAATACTTAGGGGTAACTCAGCTTCACATCTGTCCTCCCTCTCTCGTTCAGCTCTAAAACATGCTAATG